AATCATGAATTTCTTTTTAAAAAAATTTTATTATTTATATTTTATGTGTATGAGTGTATTGCCTGCACATGTGTAAGTGTACCCATGTCCTGCAATGTCCTTGGAGGTTAGAAGGTGTTGGATTCCTCTGGAACTGGAATTATGGATGGTTGTTAGCCACCATGTGGGTGCTGGGAATTGAACCCAGGTCCTCTGCAAATGCAACCAGCACTCTTAACCACTGAGCCATCTCTCCAGTAAATCCATGAAAAATTAGAAACATGTAAAGCCACCATTTGTCTTTATTGTTCTATGCTTCCTTAGGGAACTTCATTATTTCTATCTTTAAACTACTTTAGGTGTCCCTCAGCTTTGGAAATAAAATATTACTCTGAGTTTCTATCTTGCTTATTATTTTAACTTTTTTCTCTTTTTCTCTTTCTTTCTTTCTTTCTTTCTTTCTTTCTTTCTTTCTTTCTTTCTTTCTTTCTTTCTTTCTTTCTTTCTTTTTTTGTCTTTTTGAGACAGTCTCCCTGCAGCCCCAGCTGGCCTGGTATTTGCTATGTAGACCAAGATGGTCTGTATCTCACAGAGATCTGCCTGCCTTTACCTCCCAAGTGGTGGGACAAAAGGTGTTTGCCACCATGCCTGGCTAACTTTTTTCTTAAAGTTGGATTTTTCCTTAATCTATCATTGACACACACTGGACTATGTACCTTGGTAAATGTTGACATACAGCCGTGATGTGATCAATATAACTAAAACAGTAAACACATTGTGTGCTGAAACAGACCTTGTGACCTTGTGTAATCTGTCTTTTGTCATTATGCATCAGTTTGTATTTTATAGAATTTTCTATAAGTAAGATCCACCATTGATGTTCTTTTTCTCTGGCTTCTTTCACTCATGAACCTCACCCATGGACTGTGCATACTGACTGCTATGTATTTAGTTTTATTATGTAGGCAGACCACAGTTTATTTAGTGATGAGCATTTGGCTTGTTTCTGGTTTTTTTTTTTTTTTTTTTTTTGGAGGAACCCCAGTTTTTTTTTGGTGTTGGTTTTTGGTTTTTTTTGGTTTTTTTTTTTTTTTTTTTTTTTTTTTTCTTCTTTTGAGATAGGATCTCACTATGTGGCCCCAGCTGGCCTGGGACTTGCTGTGTAGATCATCCCAGGCTAGCCTCCATCTCAGAAAGATCAGCCTGCCTCTGCCTCCCAAGTGCTGGGATTAAAGGTGAGCCACCACGCCCTGCTGTTACTAGTTTTTTGAGGATTATACATAAAGCTGCTATAAGCATTCATGTAGTCCCTTTGTAGATACATGTTTATGGTTCTCTCAGGTAAATAGCTAAGAACAGAATTGCTGTGACTCTTAAAATTTATTAATAAGAAAGCAGTTCAACCGGAATGAGGCTGGGTGTGGTAACACTAGCCTTTAACCCAGCATTCAGGAGAGGCAGAACGTGGCTGATATCTCTAATTTCAGGGACAGGCTGGTGTATGTAGTGAGTTCTAGTCCAGCTAGGGCTTTATAATGAGACTCCTAAAAAGAAAAAAGAGAAAAAGAAAAGTAAAGAAGGGACTGGAGAGACAGCTCAGCAGTTAAGAGCACTGGCTGCTCTTACAGAAGACCTGGGTTCGATTCCCACATGGGAAGCTAACAACTATTTAGCGGTTTATCACTGAGGGAGTGTAAACTAAAACTACAGTTTAAATGAAGCCATGGTGTAAATACAAACAATGTACACTTATTAGAATGACCAATGGTAAAAGTTTCTTGAAACGTAAAACATAAACTTACCATAAAATTGCGATGCTCTTTAGTTTCTTTTTTGTTTGAGGAAATCTTGTAGTGGTCCTTAATTTCTTTCTTCCCAATTTATCTCCACTTTCTTCTTATCATCAGAAATAAAAGGAAAAAACAAAAAGAAAAAAGGGCAAAGGTCACTTTCCTACCACTTTTTGAAGTGTGTTTTCAATTCCAATGAAGATTTTTTCCATGTAACTCAAATTTCCTTCACGTTTTTTCCTCTTTATGCAATCTTGTCCAAAATTATTTTAATTCGGAAGATGAAAGCAAGCTACTGAAGTGTCCCAGCCTAGAGGTGGCACACACACCATAATAACTCGCCAAAAGCTAGGCTCTTACTGCCCCAACAACCAAGGTACTACATCCCTTTGACCTCCTCTGCACATGTCACTTGTAGACAATGACAATCTCTTCATACCATTTTTGTGATAATTAAAAGAATTAATTCATGTAAAACATCAGTATTTAAAGTATAATTCATAATTCATAATGTGTGATTATGTGTGTGCTTAATGAAAACCTCAGGTTTTGGTAACATACACATATTGAGCTTCTTCAAATACATTACCATTTTATAGGAACTGTATATTTCTCAGCATATATCTTAAAATAACTTCATCAGAATACACACTCTTAACAAAAAAAGGAGTTTTTTTTCTCTCAGTGGCAGTGAACGATGTAGAGTGTGGTGACCATGTACGAGTGTCAAAAAACACATGCTTAGTTTGCCTTCTTGTCTGGCATCATCTAAGCAGACCAGAAGTTGTTCAGTAAGGCCTCTAGAGCAGGAGACACCAAGGTTCAAGCCCCAACTTTGCTTCTGTGATCTCTGGGCAAATGTGTAGCGTCAGTCTCCATATCTTCATCTGTGGAATGGAGACCATGGTGACACTCAGTTCATAGAGAAGTTGTGGGGTTAGGTGAGTTCACATGTGTGAAGGTGTCCGCATACAGGCCATTTATCTAGTATGAGTCATGTTGGGCGACCTTAATAGGGGGGACTCATTGGTAAATGGAATGTACTGAGGTAAATGGTAGCTGAGCTGTCAATCCTGATTGGCTTAAAGAGAGAGATGAGCACCAGAATACACCAACTCAGTATAGGAACTGGAGACGTTAAAGAGAACAACTTAGCTATCAAAGTCTTCCACTCTGGCCCTCCTGTATGTAGCACACTATGCGGGGCAGGTAGCTAGGCAGTAGCTCAGATAAAGGAGTAAGTACTATGTTTACAAACTAGTCTTAGTCATTTACAGACAATCTCCTTCAACTCCTGTTCTATCCTTCTGTGATTTTTACTCTAATTCTTTGGTATATATTGATGAATCCTTGGCAGAATTCTAGGTTATTTGAGGAAAAGGAATACAATCTAAACACAGTGGGAAAAATAATTAAAATCAATGGCAGTGATGGTACTATTTCAGGATAGATGATATGTGATATGTGAGAAAAGAATTTTTCACTAAGAGGCTCAGGAAATCTGCACAGAGGAGGTGGTGGCCACATTTGGGGCACATGGGAATGGGAAGAAACTGCACTCTAGGTTTGGGGAACACTTGAATATAGAAAGTTACTTATGCCCAAGACTTCTGCCTGGAAAGAAATGACTTGAACACAAAGGCATTGCAAGAGATGGGGAGGAAAAACCATTGCTATAATAATTTTATTTTTTTGCAAATCCAATGAAAGGTTTGTGTTATTTGTATTAGTATTTTGAAAGTTGCATTTATTATTTTTATTATTGTTTGTGTGTGTGTGCTCATATGTACCATGATGCACATATGGAGGACAGAGGACAGCTTCGTGGAGTTGGTTCTCTCCTTCCACCTTTACATGGGTTATGGAGATAGAACTCAGATAACTGGGCTTGGGCAGAAAGTACTCATGGAACCATCTCACCAGGCCCTTGTTTTGGTCTTTCAAGTTTTCTGAGGGTTTGAAACACATTATTTTCGTTTTTTCTAGGTTAATTTTTTTTTTTTTTTTTGGTCTTTTTGAGACAGGGTTTCCATGTAGCCCCAGCTGTCCAGGAACTCACTATGTAGACCAGGCTGGCCTTGAACTCACAGAGAACCGCCTGCCTCTGCCTCCCAAGAGCTGGGATTAAAGGTGTGGGCCACCATGCCTGGCCATTTTTCTAGGTTAAAATTTAGGTGAAGAATTACCACTGTAGATTTCAATCTGCAGCGATCCACCTACATAGATTTAAAAAAAAAAAAAAGGCTGAGAAAAATTTCTCGATACTGTTGAAAGTCCCTGAGAACAAAGGCTCCCTTTCCCCCAGTTCCAAACAGCCCTGAATTCCTGAATTTTCTAACCTGTGTTATCTGCTACTGAAAGTTCTGTATGAAGTGCAACCTCTTGCACACACAAAAGACATTGTTTGAAGGTGAAGTGGATTTTAATGACCACATCCAGGTCTCAGCATTTCCCACTCTTACTTTCACACCAGACACCACAGGTTCACACAACTGTAGAATTACATTTCTTACCTAAGATGTTCAACTTTCTTTCAAGAACTCCAGCATCTTAAACAATGTTCACAGGAATCTTGGGAATTTTTTGACTTCAGAAAGATCTGATAGCAACCTTCTGAAGGCCACTGATTTCAGTGGCTTCTCTTGATGTGACAAAGGGAAGACGCAGGGAATCATATTTTCCTGGTCCTCCACACTGATTCACAGTGCTCCACCATATTTACTGACTCCTTAATCCCAGAACAAGAATGAGAATTATCAGAGGGATTATAGTGGATGTGACTGAGGAAAAGTTCTGCTGATGGCAAAGTTGTTTCA